TACTTTTGCCATCTCTGAAAAAAAGACTTAGCACTGGTTATGTTGGGGCTTTAAAACTGATTTGTTTTGTTCCCTGCTAAAACAAAGTTTGTGAATTCAGTTAAATAATTGTTAAAATATATCTGTCATTTGTGTGTTTTTAGTTTTCTTCCTGTATGGGAAGCTTTTCAAAATTTAAAACATTAGTGCAGTGGTTTAAGTTATAATAAACCTTTGGGTTAAGTTGTCGCAAGCAGGTTTTTCTTCCGTTTCTTGTGAATTTGGTCTTAAATTTTTATTTCAAGTGGCATTAAAAAGTCTTCAAAAGTCTTGAATTTAACTTGCCTTATGCTGCAGGAACCCTGAAAAAGTTTTTTGTGAAATCCTGACTCCATACAACGCCATATTCGGTCTGTTTAACGAGTATGGCGTTGTTAAACATGATTAGCTCACACATGAAAGCTGTTAGGTGGTTTTAGCTAGCTCTTAGCTTCTCTAGGTCATTTATTATAAGATTGTATTTATATAGTAGTAATTCAGTTTTGTTTAAGGTGTGTTGCATTTTGTGTCCTTAGTTGCCGTAATATGTTTATATTTTTAGCCAAAGTTTAAAATGGTACTGAACTTGTTAATACCGGGTAAAGATGTTTCCATTTTTTATGGTTAAAGCTACTTTCTCACTCGGTTCATCAGGAGTGATTCAGACCTTCTGAAGAAGCTCGCGTTGTTTGTTCGCCGCTTCTCAGACCAAGATCCTTGTGTAACATTGTTGCTATACAACCAGGCTACACAGAATACTAAAAAAGGATTAAAAACAATTCTTTTTCGCTGAACTTACGACTGTTAACCTTTTATAATTATGCCATCGACTTATTTATTCATATGTACTTTACAATGAAGTTTAGTTTTTGTTTGCTTTTACCTTTTTATGATGATGTTACCTGTAGCACATTGAGATTTTCCTTCAATGTAAAGTTCATTACAAATAAAATTAAATAAATAAAAATGTTGCCCTTGAACAGAATAGGTCAGACAGTTTTATGTTTTCATAGATGAATTCTGTCAAAAACTGAATTCATGTCTGTATTTTCAACGCTAGCTAAAGTGTTTCCTGAGGAAGATGTTTTTTATGATATCCTGGATGAAAAGTTTCATGTTTGACTGTTTCCTCAGACCAGAGTTCTGTCTATGAGCTGAGTGCGGTGCTGATCCACCGAGGCATCAGCGCCTACTCGGGACACTACATCGCCCACGTCAAGGACGCTCTTACCGGCGACTGGTACAAATTCAACGATGAGGAGATCGAAAAAATGGAAGGAAAGAAGCTGCAGCTTGGAATTGAAGAGGACATCGGTGAGCGGCTGCGTTTTTATAAATCATTCTAATTTTTCATCACATACGATTTTGACTTTGCCATGAATCAAACAATGAGCTCATTTACGGTCAAGATTCACTTGTAATACTGATGTAGGTACCAGATCTGCTCGGGGCCCCGCCCCTTCTTAGTTCATCATGATATGGCAACGCCACGTGGACAAAATGTATTATAACAGTTTCTACAGAATCAGATCTGTTGTTGACTGTCAACATATCATTCCCTGTATTTGCAATCATTTTACATTTCATCTGTGATCTAAAGTAGCCGAAAGTAGAAAACAATCATTATTAAACTGGAAGGAAAGTCCTGCCTTCTAAGACAGACTGAGCTCTTCTATTTAACAAAGGGACGCTAAATGTCTTATGCTAAGTTCAGGCAGCAGGAGCAGCTAACACGCACCTGCAGCTTCATTTTTTGATGCTTGTACCAGTTTAGTTCTGACGCGCGGCTGAAGCATCTTTGCTGCTTTCGCTGCATGGTGGAAAAGTGGGTTTGATGCGCGGTGGGCGGAGCTACTCTATCCTTTCTCTGCCTGGAAC